TTTTGCAGGTGAGAAAAGACAATTTACTCTGTAATTTACGGCTGTGCGTGTATGCCTATCCAATCTCCTGGTAGCTGAAAATATCGCCCCACTCCCCACGAACGTGGGAGAAAGGTCAGGTTACTTTAGGTCAATGAATGTGAGGTCCAACACCGCGTTCATCTTCCTGCAACACGATCAGCAAAGTTCTTCTGTGTCGCCACGCTGTTGGGGGTTAAATATATAGAAATTAATAAACACTTGCTCTACAAAATCCACGCGGGGCTTCTCATTACGCAGTTATATCCACCATCCAGTAGCTTCATCCCTCCTGGGTCCAATCTCCTTAGCACCCTGTCGTCGAACACCCTCAATCTGTGTTCTTCCCTTCTCGTGAGAGGCGCTGTGTATATTTTTAAGTTATGAAGACAGAAAGCTTCTGAACCGCGTGGTAACTCGTATTTCCCGAATTTTGTCTTGTTTTAATCTCCTACTGAAATTATTTATTATAACAAACGTTGTTCCTACTGTATCGAGGGAACAAGCCATGAACACATGTCGCGGAGTGGAGGCGTTCTTAATCTCGTAAATAGACCGGGTTTCAAATTTCTATGACGTCATTCTGTATTCAGGGGCTGCGTAGAATTTGCGAGAGCGTAGCGTCAGTCAATCACTGAAACGTCGGTGAGGTCCACGGCGTTTTCCCTGAAATGGCGAAGGAAAATGCGGAAGACGGAACTTTGGACTTCTGTAGGACCTACTGTACGACAGCTTTGTTGAAGAATGCAGCAAGCATGGAGTTCATCCAGAATGGAACGTGTCAAAGGTCCATGGTCCATTGACCTAGGACGCGAGGCTGAGTGCGCAAACACAGAAACGGATTGCGTGGTGGTCGAACGAAATCGATAGACAACTCTTGCCTCTTCTGTGGCTAAATTCAAAACAGGATTTCGCGTTCTGCTGTGCATTCAGGATTAAAAAGGACTTCCAACATAGAAATATCTCAGCACGAAATTTAGTGTTGATCCGATAGGCCACAACATTGACCGAGGTTGTTCGTGGTTATTTTGCTGCTCTGGGATGGTACCTTAACCCTTTGAAGCCGAAGATCGTCTGAATATTATTTATGAATTCAGTCCGTACCGCGAAGAAAACACTACACCTCACCATTACGAAAATCAGCTGGTTAACCCTTTGAAGCCGAAGCTCGTCTTCATAATATTTACGAATCCAGACCGTACCGCGAAGAAAACACTTCACTTAACCATTAGAAGTCGAATCAGGCGGTACCACATAAGATTTAACCAAAGAACATCCCGGTCAAAGCCTTAATCATCGAACGCTTTCAACCGTAACCGTGCCTATTCGTTCCCATAATTCGACGCCGTGTAACCTCAGCTACTGACAGCGTCGTTAACCAAGGCGCAAATACAAATAAAATTATTTCGGTGCAATTTATCTTAATAAAATCTCATTAACGACAGAGATCATTTGAAGCTTGATAAATTCTTTACGTATGATTGCTTAAGGCTAAACAGAAAACAGAATAAAGCAACTGGTGCAGTGAGAAAGCGCACAGTTTTCCTGTCATATTTTCCTATATTTCCCAATTCTTCTTTACAGAACATATTTATATATGTGTAAAAATTTGGCATGTTTATGTTCCTTGTATTTTCCTTTTCAAGCAATGAAATTGTGTTTTTTTTCTAATTTTTTGTTACCTACTGATGCATTACATTGTTCTTGTGGGAAATTACTACTCGCTTTAAGAACTGTGTCCACGAACTTAACTATTCGTAAGAACGGAGACTACACACTCCTCCTACTTCGCTGGAATTCCAGTCAGAACACGGCAGTCGGACACAGGATCATCCATATTGCTGCTCTGAATAACACACACACATGCCTGAAATTTGGTTCCTCTTAATACGGGCAATGACCAACTTCAAAACATAAAAAGATTTAGAAAAACGAGTTAGTAAAAAGTTGAGTCAATATTGATAATGATTGTGCTGTCATGTTTACAGTAACACTGTCGCGAAAATGTTCAATATTTACCGTAGATATTCGGATGTTTTACATCTTTTCTTGTTACAACGTTCGGGTAAATGAACTGGAGGCTCTTAACATGAGCGGACTTCGCAAGTCGGAAATCAGCACCACGAAAAATATAAATCTGACAAATGATAACCAAGTGGAATAATTAACTACAATAATTGTCACTGTGGCAGTTAAGAGTTGAAGGTTTATAATTGCTTAGCAAGATGGTAGCATCCTATTCAACTAAAACGATTTGTTAGAGGCAGAATTCTAGTCTATACAGCGCACTGCTGATGACGAAACAGACACACGTGTTGATATTCTTCCATCACATAACAAATTTTTTGTAATAATTAAAACAGAGCTTGAAATACACGGATGTCCTCTCGCTGTGAGGAGAGATGATTCTTCGAGTTCAAATTTAAATTTATATTAACGGACTTTTGTATCAGATCTTCTGGAGCAGAAAGTTTGAAGCGATGTTAAGTTTTGACGTAATGTTGTTGAAGATTGCATGTGGCGACCTAACCTCACAAACTTCCCAGCGCAAATATAAAATATTTGTTTCTTAATATGGTCGCCGTTTAGTTTGTTATCCAGAACCCGTGGCTCGGATATTTTCACGGGGCTGTTCAATACAAATTTCAAGCCCCTCTGCTCCAAAGTTTTAATTCCTTAGACTCCGTAAATATTACTCGAATAATCACGAGCTTTGTTTCCGCCATAAATAAATAATTTAGAAGACGTTTTTAAGTAATGTGATTAACTGCTATGAACGTAAAGCAGTCGTAGGATATTATAAGGTGTAATTCAAGATTTTATACAAGACTGAGACAAACTAGTGAAGTAACTAATAATATTTCGGGGCATATGTAACATTCGAATAGATCATATGTTACACTGACTCGTCGTATTCCAAATAAAAATACTAATGCTGTTATAAAATCAACCGAGAATGGAGAAAAGACGGCGATATTCTTACTATCATGTAACCAATCAGAGACCAGATTTGATGACAAGACGTTATCAAGAAAATGCATGTCCT